AAGATACTTAACTAGGCGTAAGCATATAGGGATTCGCTTGATGTGATTGTGGCATGACGCTGTTACACAACTTGTGCATAAGGGATACTTTGCCAAAACGAAGAGTATGCACCAGAACAAGAGGGCGTTCCCGGCGTAGGTGCACGTACCAAATAGATTACCAAAAATAGTAACAGTGGTGAGGATGTACGGCGAAAATAAAGAACAAATACAATGCGTCAAAAAAGGCTGACATAAACAGGTGTAGATTAACCAGAAACAGCAGTGAAAATGTCCAATGAATGTGTACACCAGCACGCACAGAAAGGGGCAAACATGTGCATAACAACACGCAGCAAGCAGGAAAAAATGAGAGAAAGTGGTAACTGCAGTGAGACATATCTATTACGAAAAATACGCGCTACAGACTAGTTATAATGTCCGAAACGAAACACTGCAACTCAAATGGCTTATTCGTTACGTTGTGAATGTAAGAATACTTGCATTTTCGTCTATACCAGGTAATACCGGCATAATTTCTCGATTAGAAACGATTTTACCACCTTTATTTTATTGTGAGGTTCAAAACCACATTCTAATATTGTAGTCGTTAGTTTATCAAGTGAGTGTCCTAGTATACTTACGTGTTCGAATAGAGGTAGGTCGGGAAGTGTGTTAACGCCCACTTTCGGTTATTGAATTGCAATCTTAATGGGGTTTCAGTCTGACCCATAAACTGATGTTAACAAGCTTATCACTCAAGCAGACATGTGCAGTTACTGGTGCCGCAGTCAAAGTTTCCTTTGTTTCTCGTTGTAAGATTTCGCGCTGTGTTCTTAACTGATACTGTGGTCGTCATGTGGATGCACACTCTGCAGCGTGCCTCGCGGCAGTGAGGGCAGCCAGAATGAACGAATGAGACCGTTGTTTTGGATGACGTCCGCAAGTCCTTCACCCGTGGTATGCTACGTGTGGTGGATCATGAAAAATGTTCTTCGGGTAATCAGCCTGCATGAGCATTTCGCCATGCTTCTTTGAGGTGCAGTTAACGTTTGGTGTCGATGCAGGGTGAGTTAAAACCATGTTAGCACATGGGTACTTTGCAGCTTGTTTGCTCAAGTTAGGAAGCTCGTGTTGGTCTGCTTTAGTTGCACGGTCTAATGGTCCCATCAAATACATCAGGTGGGTACTTCTGTCCAGCAAGCGCATCGCTCTTTTTGTCGCAGGTAAAGCAGAAGTCGGCATCTTGGAAGCACAACCTCGTAAATCGAAGGGCTTCACTGTATGGGGTGCTTTGTTTTGTTATGCTTGACGTGGCTGCTTTTAAAATGAAGATCGCGGAGCTTGACTGTGCCACTTCGTTGTTAGTTAGTTGTCAGATGGCGCATCGGCATCTCGAGAAAGCTTATGGTGGAGTGTGCATAGGCTAGCAAGAAGGAAATCAATAGATGAACGTTATTGAAGTCAGCAATCGAATACTTACGTTCTGCCTTTCTATGATGCCATAATAAATATATACGAAGACATTGTAGTACTCTGACTTAGTGCACATCTGTCGAAAAATTGTTGTCTAGTTGATCATTGGGTATGTTTGCGTAATTTGGGCCTATCTTCGTGCGCTTCGTAACGCTCAACTGTACGTAGTGTGTGCCGTTATATTCAGCGCTCTTCAGTTTCCTGACTATATCAACTAGGGTGTCAAGTGTTCAGCTGTCAAGAGGTTCAATAAAGCCTGATTCATCATAAGTGTTAATTACTGATCGAACGCCATCATCACAAGTAACCTTAATGTAGAGGATAGCCACAGCCAATGTGACGAGTATCGGGTTGTCAGCTGGCCACTCCGAGGACCAAGATGTCCATTAAAACATTGTTAGTGTCCTTAAGATGGGATGAAAATCAGGTAGGAATACGGCTATAAAATTATCGACATAGCTAGAAAGCAGCTTGGTCAGAGTGCCAATGGTCGACTATGGTATCTTGTGTAGAAAAATAATCTATCTGCAACAGGATATAGAGGTATCAGTGACTGTATACTTTTGCTTATGCAACCATCTGCAGTAACGTCCCCGTGTGTGTAGGCAAGCATGCATTGCTGTTCATCAATTTGGTCATATTCTGGACATTTATGCCGAGGGCTATCACCAAACTCTCATATCTCCGGCAATTCAGTCGGAGGTGCTCAATATTACTAACGTGCACCCTTTGTCTGCTCGCTGATGTCCGAGAGGCATGTAACTTCCTAATATATTCTCGTTTTTCCACGGACAGGTTGTGCCTCAAGGAAATGCTCTGGTCACAAGCTCAGCCGAAATATACATATCTAAATACTTGTCTAGTTGGTGTGCTGCCGTTCAACGTTGACAAGAAAGTTAATTTTTTTCTTTACGCTGCTGTACCATGATTGATTTTACGTAATCGTATCTTCCGAGCGAACTTATCGACATTTTTGACGAGCTGGATCATATTCATTATGCCCACTATAAGTGGGCCAGAAGCTGAGACCGTGAGACAGAACATACATTTCTGTACGAGACGGTGAGGCGACTAGCACTGTTGCCGCTAGTGGAACCAGAACAATCGGAAGACTGATTCATTGTACCATTGGCTGTGACACCAGTTGAACGCTATCGAAAATTCTTTTCCCCGCTGTATTTCGCTCAAATATTTACTGCCTTCTATCACTCAGATCCTTCAAGCGAATTCCAAGGAAGGATTCAAAACTGAATGCTGAAAATTTAAGTGGCTGTAACGCGACAGACATCAGAACAATACGCTAGAAGAAATGTTTGAAGAGCATTCCAGAAAAAAATCACAGCATATTCACGGAGTGAATGATAATGAGTTGGAAGAAGCGTCCGGTAGGGCGGACGGATGCACAGACGGACAGACAGACTGACAGATGGACAGAAAAATTGAAGTGCACCAAACAGTTTTATAAGATCTTTCAATCAACTACATGTACTACCATCTAGTGAACAGTTCAAGACTAAACTAGAGGTGGCTACCTACTACTACCATATTTTATAGGATGTACAGACACACGCCTTAAAGAGCTTCACCCCTAAAAAAAGGTAAGGACCACTTCACTGCTCACCGGCTTTAAGCCACATAGTTGATGCCGAAACATTTCGCTGCGAGCCATCACCGGCCGGTCACAGCCCAAGTACGGCACACACCAGCTCTCAGCCGCATCATTCCAAACAATGCGTACCTGAAAATAAAATCACTTAAAGTTAAAGGACCTACGAAACAACTTCGTCAAGGTCTTTCAAAAAGTGCATCTCGCTTTCGGATAACTCTTCTGAAGAAGGTACGCCCACTGCAGTTCTATTATTTGCATCTTTTTGTTTCCTCTGTTTACCACTTTACAGTGGACCAACTCGAAGACATCGATTGCTCTATGTAAAACTTGGCTGATAAGAGAAGTGTGGGAAACGAGGTGAATGCTTTTAAGTGTGGCAACAGGGGCTTGTCGGGTAGTTTATTATCGAAACATCGTTGCAGTGCAGTCAAGGACATGGACAAACGGGACAAACGGGACAAACATCGAATGACACCCGGTACAAAGATGTTTTACATGCAGCTGCAAAGTAACATTCAGGAACGTTGTTATAGAGAATAAGACTAAGTTAAATTTAGAAGCTCGTAGCATATCCGCCCTTACTTACGTACGCGTCTGCAAGATTCGGTTACCTTGTGCGAAAAAGATATCAAGCAAGCATATACGTACGAGGCGGTTTTTCGTGTGGAAGATTGTGCATGTGTGAACACCATAGCGCTGAACGTCGAAGATTATTGTCAGTCTATGCAGATCCAATGAGAGGCTGTCGTCTGGTGGCGGTAAATCTGGTCGAGCGAAATATTCTTACCATACAGTATGTATTTCGTCACAAGAAGGTATTACGCATGCACTATGATTATAGAGATTCCACCACAAGAAAAAGTTATGGAGACGCCTTTTTATTGACGCATATGCTCGTCAAAGCGAATGAACCAGCGCTGTATCAGGCCTCCCAAAAAATGTTCAAGCTCACCAAGAAAGCCTCGTTATTGATAACGTGGCGTGCCTTCAACAAGACACACAGAAGTGCAATGGAAAGCCACAGCCTTCTAGCAAACTATAGAAAGGTAAAAGTCTTCCTACACTAATCAAAATATGCGCCATAAAAACAATAGAAGTTGCGTAGCCACAGGACGCAACTCTAGATCTCAGAGTTACTAAAACCTACTCAGGGCGCCGTGGTATGAACTAAGCTCATTGCAGGAAGCGACCTACCTCGTTCAAGCTACCGCGTAAAAAGCACCATTCAAATTACCTCACCGGCGACCAGACTCGTTAATTTCGTTTATTTTTCCCAAAGACTGCAATAGTAAGTTGTCGATCGACACCCAGGACCTTGGTGAATGAACGCGCAATCATAAGGAAGACGTCGAAGTAAGACGTCAATACGTTCAAAGGTACGGGTCATCCTCTGAACCCGGCAAAGATAAAGCACAGAGTCTGCCAAATCCACCTGGCACTGGTATGTAATAAATCGAGTGGATGTAAAATCATAACAGTTTCGTAATAAGGTGTTCCTTAGCCAAACACTTCACTACTCCGGTTTATGCACTATGGGCATCCGAGGGTCGGTCGCCTTCAATCTTACTCACCTTCGAGCCAAGCGAGATTGGCGTTCGGGAAGTGGTTTGGTAAACACCCTCTCGCGGTTCTGCTGCCGAAGTGGTACAAGTTCTGACGCATGCGCCACCATGTGGATAATGCTCTCCCAAGTGCCGTAGTTCAAATTCATGCCCTGCACACATATTTGCGTACCATCATCATCGGGAATTTTCAGCTGCTGGCACTATCGAAGATTGAATGGCTGAATTACCTTTGTAATTTGCGTATCTCTACATTCTATGACCCACTCATGTTAGAATTGGTTACGTCTGCCACACATCAAGTGAGTATGTCTACAATGGTGCTTCAATAGTTGTGGTTGAAGCTGTGGAGTGCTACCACACACTTTAATTTTAATTTATTGTACTTTACATGCCCCATTTGATTATGAGGCACGCCTGAAAGCGAAATGGCTGGTGATGCTCGACAAACCCCGAAGCTTTGTCATGCTCCTAATGTTAGTGTTTTTCTTTTCGTGTCAGCCGTTTGTAGCACCAGGACCAAGAAATCAACCCGAATCCTAAGATTTAGCCGCGAAACGCGTTAGTCATTATCACAACCAGTATATGATGGCGGCCACCGCATAGACTCCACAGAATGAAGCATCCATGTCCTGGAACGTACCACAAAATCACAATTAACTGGAGACCTGGTCGTTCGGCGCACCAACAAGCGCGGGTTGTCATCCAAAGACAGAGTCACAACTCGGAGTTGACGAACAACAAACGTATTTTATAACTCGGGCAGGAACAAACACTTAGCACGCAGTGGCACACATACTAGATTGATAAGGTAACAACGAAGCTAACTTGCGTTTGATAGAACCTGGAACGTTAATTTACTATCACTACGTATACAAACTCCATAATGCAAACAGAATATTCCAAAGTACTTAGGACCATTTATATTTACCTGGCTAGTTTGCGGTACAGTCCACAGCGTAATCTTGCGTCAATTTTTGAAAACAGTTCTTCCGGAAACACAGGGCACACGTGACTAAAGGGCTTGATGTAGCTACCCTTCCGCAGTAGGCTAGCTACACGAAAACTTGCTTGTATATAGGCTGACTCCCGTCCTAGATTTATTTCATAGTGTTGCCATTCAACCAGCTGCACTGGCTGACAGTTCGGTTGCCTGTATTCACTTATTTCATCGGAGGGCGAGTTCTGGATTGTACGACGAAATAAACCCTTACACAGTAGAAAATGATCTTGAGAATAAGCAACAATTTCCTGAAGGTTCGTGTTGCGACAGCTGACCCGTCGGCAGATGCCGCCTTGCTTGACGTTGTGGGATGTCTCAATTTTTCGAACTCTTCTGCTTTGCACGTGCGCTAGGTTAGAGCGGCACTCGATGTCTGAGAGGCACGCTGATAATAATATGTTTTGGAAGCTTGAAAAAAGAGCTACAATTTTTAGTTTTACTCACCAATGGACCTTGTTTTATCCTCATGTAGGACTCAACCTCTTCCAAATCACCTGCAGGAAAACTAAGCATGACTAACTATTCAAATCGACCTAAATTATAAACTCGCTGTCCTATGCAAACGCTCATGACGTAAAATCTGGAAAACAGAACAGCCACTCAACGTTCGCACATGCATACGTTAGTTAACTGATAGCACCCTGCAAATTGTCCGATTCAAGGACTCTGTAAGCACCTAATTCATTGTTGTGCAATATTAAGCCTTTTCCTCCCATTGACGGGTATATTTTCTGATATTTTGAAGCAAAATGACCCATGAAAAATATACTCATCATCAAGTAAAACTGGGTCAAATGAAACCAATGCAGCGCCACCAACCGTACGGCAATCACTCTACTTGTGGGGTATTCACAGAATTTCGTGGGCAACATGGGTTAATTGGGCAAGAATACAATTACGTTATCAGATTGCAAGACAATTTCAGCATTTGGCTCAATGTCGAGCAATAAAAAATACGGATATTAACGGAACACCTCCGATGCTGGACATTCTTGAAGAGGTCCCTAATTAATTCTTTCTTTGACTAAAATTAGGTGTTTTTTATTTCATGGTTTAAAATGCAGTGCGAAATATACCGAGTACTCTAATTATTATTAACCTTTTCTAGACACACTGTGTCTATGTCCTCTTGTTTGTACGTGCCACAGAAGTGATTTTCTTACACCAAACAGCTGTACTCATCTGAAGAGCTGTCACTAGTATCCAATAAACTTCCTTGTTTTAAACACAGCTTGAACGCTAGGACAGTCTTCATTAGTCGTGTGTTTATATGTTTAAATTTGGACAGCTTCTTATGCTCCCATAGTGGTACACCAAACTTTAAATCAGGGGACATTTTTTTCTAAGCAACATAGTGTGCAAAATGTAACTGTCTTCTTTCGGCGAGTATTGCACCGTCCGCCTTTGACGTACATATCGTACTGGACAAAGCGGCTCACAAGTTTTCATTGTCTTTCACAAACTTGCCAACCACGTTTTCTAAACATTGTTACGCACTGAATAAAGGTTTAAATGGAAATAATAATGAGAGCGCAGGCGTAAACGACGATGGTGATCGCTAAAGCAGCATCGTCGTTCTCCTCTTCTTCTTCAGCTTCCCGTGGTTTCCACTTGTAGGTATACAGTTCTTCCTAACAATCCTCCACTCTTAGGCGAAGCCCTCCGAGTGAGTCATTCCAGAATCCTTGGTGTGAATGGCTTGAGGCGGCCAACATGCGTCACCTGAGTCTTGGGTGAACGACGGCCACTTTAAGTGAGGCGCCCCATCTCGTAATTAACCTTGCTTAGGCGATGTTGAATAACGAACAGTCAGTTGTAGTTTGAAAGAAGTTTTTCGTTTAAGACAGATCACCGTACGGGAGTCCTGAGCTATACAAACTCACCTAGAACAAAATGGACGTGTCTTCGTTGACTGTCGTAACGTGTTGTACAGTATAGCTTTGCACGGCCAATGTACGTAAGCGTGCAAGTAGCCGAGTCTCTTTTCACGACACAGCGTCTGGGAGATAGGCAAATCGTCCTGGCTAACGAAAGAAAGGATAGTGTCTAGCATGTGGTGCAGTGAGCGAGTGTATAAAGAAGGAACAATGGGCTCTAACCTGCAATTTCATATTTCACATAGTTGAAGCATAAGTTACGAAGGGTAACACGTTGTACCATTTCTTGTGGTCCGATGCGACGTACATTGACATGTTGATGAATGTTCGGTTTGTGCGCTTAATCAGTTCATTAGTTTGCGGGTGGCAGGCTGTCAAGCGTCTCAACTCAGACACACAAGAGTGGAGTAATTATTCGATAACATCGGCAGTGAACTGACGACCACATTCACTTATCATTACTCAGGAAGGCCCGTGCCGGATAACGATGGAATGGAGTATAAACACGGAAGCCTAGGCTGCCATGGCGGAGGATGAGGCCGCCATCTCGCAATACCACGACATGTAGTCAGCACATACTATTATCCAGTCGTTGCCTCTTGACGAACGTGGGAACGAGCCGATCAGGTTTATGCCGATCTTTTCAAAAGGAGTGCTAGGGGGCATTATCCGTTCCACGTGGCCGACCGAAGCGGAGGTAGGTCGCTTTCATGGCTCTGACATCTTGTACAACTAGCTACATAGGTCCAACTGTTCTGCATATTTGGGGCCAGTATAATCGGTAATTGGTGCAACTTAGTGTTCACACGGACCCTGAGTGACCAGACGTCGAATTATCGTGCACAATACGCCGAATATACTTGTGCAGCAAGTCAGGAACCACCAGTAAGAAGCGAGCACCCGTAGTTGACAAGTTTGTTTTGTAAAGAAGACCATCTCTGATGCAAAATGGGCCTTCTGTTACCGAGCCTTGCGTTGGAAGGAAAAGACCTTTCAAGGTGCAGTCTTTGCGCAGCTCAGCAGCGAATGTCCATGCATCGGGGAAGTCAGCTGATAGGGAAGCCACAAGATGGTCAAAGTTGTTAGCTTCGCAATCAGTCGTACGTAGGGGCATCCTGGAAAGGCAGTCCGCGTCCGCATGTCAGAGGCCACTTTTTTTGTACGAAACAGTGAACACATATCTTGTAGACGAAGGGCCCGATGAGCGAGGCGTATGAACAGGTCACGAAGGTTGACCAACCAGCACGGGGCATTATGATCTTGACTATGGTAAACGGGCGACTATAAATGTAGGAGCGAAACCGTTGCAAAACAAATACTCCTGCGAGATATTCCTGTTTTGTTACAGTATAGTTGCGTTTGGGATTGCTAAGTGAACGGCTTGAGTACGCTATGACATGTTCTTTGTTGTCAGAGCATTGAATGTGAACGGCCCCGATGCCGATACCACTTGCGTCTTTGCGAATCTCTGCTGAAGCAGAAAGGTCTAAGTGCTTGAGTATTGGTTATGAAGTGAAGAGAAACTTCTGGCGAAAAGCGGCATTACACACAAGGGTCCACTGAAAGGGAGTGCTCTTGCGTAGAATATTCGGCAGGGGGTACAGATATCCGCAAACCGGGGTATGAACGGCCGGAGACAAGAGCAGAGCCATACGAAGCTACGAAGTTGTTTCACAGATTTGGGTAGCTCAAATGATGCAACGGCTGTTGTCTTCTGTGGGTCAGGCTTTACACCATCTTTATCCACAATATCTCCTAACACTAGAGTTTGGTGCTCTGTGAAATGACATATTCTATAATTTACCCCAACCCCCGCCTTTTTCATACAGTCGGGCACAGTATCCAGACGAGTGTTGTGCTCCTAAAAATCACATAGACAGGTAGCGCATACAATTGTGCCATTTCAAAACCCACAGTAAAATGTCGACGAATCTTTTGAATGTCGCAGGTGCATTACAGAATTCGTATGGCATCACTTCGAGTTCGTAAAGGCCATCTGGGTAACTAATGCTGTTTTTTCCTTCTTATCTGGTTGCATCGAAATTTCCGAATAACCAGATTTAAAATCAACGAAAGAAAATGCTAACAGTCTAGGGCGTCACTATTAGGTGGTAGCGGATAGACGTCCTTCTTTGTAACGCAATTCAGTCGGTGACAGTCTACACGGAATCTCCACATACCATCTTTCATCTTCACAACAATCACTGGTGCAGCCAACAGACTCACCGATTCTTGAATCACCCCCTATGTTAGCGTCTCTTGTACTTACTCATTGAAACTCTTGCGCTCTTATCGCACCACTTTGTAAGTTTTCTGCCGTATTGGAGTCAACAATGAGGTGTTCATCCGATGACGTATTCTAGAAGATACACTTGAAGTCTTCTGGCTACTTTTAAAATGAAGTCGAACATTTTAACAAGCTTGAAGGAGACGTCGAGAAGGGTGCTACGTTCGCTTTGGTGTAGTGATGGCTGAGAATTTGTAGGAGTTTTGAACACTCAAAGGCAACATGTCTTCTAGGCGCTGAGAGAATACATGTCTGTTTTTGCGTGCATCAATAACAAGTGCAATAAGTTAACGCGGACGATTCGGGTTTCAATACAGCGAGTTTAATTCCAAACACTGCAAGCTGCATTGAGCTATTGATTGCCCACACACATGTGCTTCCGTTAGCTGCTGACACCACACAATGGAAAACTACAATTTCTTTTTCACACAGGCTAAACGAATTGTTTCGTGTTATGGCGTCGAATATGGCAATGTCGTTATAAGACAGTGGAACGTCCATGGCATAGAAGGCAAGAAGGATCATGTCCAAGGAAACAACAAACGAGCAGTCATCACGGGATGAATCCCCAAACGCGCAGCAAGAAAACTACTGCGCGTGGAAAGGTGCCCACTCCTGTAGTCGACTGTTGCTCTACACTCCAGCAAAAAAAATCTATTCCCAAAATAACAGCGTGAATTGCACAATAACATAAAGTTTTGTGGGAAACACTTTGCTGCACTAAGACGCATTGGCAGTGCAAACTCTCACAGGACACAACGTGATACGACTCACACCGTGGAATGTCACACCACTTTTCAAAGAAAACATCCCCTTTGGCCCAATAATGTTTCAATATTTAGACTCATCACACAGTCACTCCGGAATCTACAAGGGCCGTGGTACATACGTCATCAACAAACACGTGAACACATGACGAAGGAATACCAGTTCATAATGTCCGAGGTCCTGCAGACTAGTTATCCGGTGGTGCTGATTGTGTGCGACACCGCGGCGATGGGGATCGTGAGCACGTGGAGTTGATTGCGGAGCCACGCTTCGATCGGAGGCCGGTGACGGGTTGCGTAAACCGGCAGGCGTGCGTGATGGTCCTGGCATAGAGTACCTGTGGTCAAAGGCTTGGTAGCCATGGGCAGTGGTTCTCGCTCGTATGAAGGACGACAGTTGGAAAAACGTGATATATTGCCGCAATCACTTGCCATCCTTATCGCTTTGCTTGTGACGCACGTGGTTAGTATGTATCTGCGCTCCATCATGAAGGCGCGATCCGTGAACTTATCGTCTTGCCCCGTTTTATCGGAAAACACCCCTCGCGAGTAAGCCAAGGGCAGCCGTGGGCAT